CTGTTTTCTCCTCCACAGATGCTGCCAGACCTGCTGATTTTCTTTTTATTAATTCATGGGATGTGGGCATCATTGGCTAGGCCAACTTGTATTGCTTATCCCCAGCTATCCTCAAGAAGGTGAATTGTCTTCCTGAACCACTAAAGTCTATGTGGAACATTAGGGAGAGAGTTCCAGGGTTTTGATGCAGTGGCACTATATGGCATTATATTTCCAAGTCATGTGAATGGCTGGAAGGAAACTTACAGGTAGTGGTGTTTCCTTCTTTCTGCCAGATTTCTGCTCCCAGATGTTGGTGGTCTTAGGTTTAAAACATGCTGCCGCAAGAGCCTTAGTGAGCATCTATAGTGCAACTAGTAGTAGCTGCTAGCACTGAGCAGGACAGTGGAGCAACTGAGTGTTTGTGGATGTAGTACCAATCAAATGGGCTGCTTTTGTTGATGTCAAGCTCCTCGAGTGTTGTTGAAGCTGCACTCGGCCAGGCAAGTGGGGAGGATTCTATCACTCTCCTAGCCTGTACACTGTAGATAGTGGGCAGGCTTTTGGAAGTCAGGAGATGAGTTACTCACTTCCTCGCCTCCTTCCTGCTATTATAGCCATAGTATTTATGTGGCTAGTCCAGTTCAGCTTATGATCAATGGTAACACCCATGGTTTATTTTATTATGTTTCCACTGCCAGCATGTCTGTGTCAAGAAGGAATGGGTGACTAACAAAAAGTGATAGAAATAGGAAGTGTGCCACTTTTTCCTCATTATTATTGAATGAATTGTTGAGGGCCGGCTCAAAAATAATTGTGGATGCTCTTTTAATACCTGGAAAAATAATGCAAAATATCAGAAAAACATAGCATTTTCATTTAGTGTCCTAACGCTTGCCCTACACATTAAGGTGGCTACAGCCAAACCCCACACCAATATTCAGACAGCTCTAACAATCTAGCTCTATACAGACACTAAACAGATACTGAAGAATTTGATTGAGGTCAGATGATTAAAACACACCTAATGGAATATTAAAACAACTTACAAGAAAGCATTTACAAGAATTTATTATTCTCGATTTCATAAAATGTAAGCAAATACTATTTTTCTAAGTCTTCTCTCAGGTTCCCCTTTAATGATTCAGCATTCACTTCTAGTCTCATAATTAGTTTCTAGTGTGCATGGAATAAATAAAAAATGTTGTTTAAGTACTGCACCTTAAGATTTCATGCAGATTGAAATACAACAAAAGCATTAACAGGTACTTCTTTCACCTTCATTACTTTACAAACTGTTAAGATTTTCAGACTTTGGCACCAAACAAAATATCATTTTGTTTTTATTGTGGCATAAATAATATAGCAGTGAGCAGCTTCTGCTGAAAGTGTTTAATGATAAATAAAAGCAACTGTGGCTTGTGCATGTGAACTTTTCATATTTCAGATCATTTTTCCCTTCATGTGTAATCAATCCAAGAATATCACTATAGGAATCATCTTGGCAAGGCTTCACAAGAGGCAATGGGAAATGCAACTTTCAAAAAGACTGGAAGCTTCTTTGTACTGAAATTCATTCTACGGGTGTTGAACCATCCAGATCAGCAGCTAGTAATGTGACTTCCAAAAGTCCTGCACATCTGGAACAGTTCTCAAGTGGATCTGAAGTTGGAACCATCGGTGCTAAATGTGAACATGTTCTAGAATTTGTGAGCATTCACTCTTTGCAGTTAATTAAGGGACACTTAAGCCAGTTAAATTTGTTTTCCTTTCAAGATTGATTAGAATTCTCTGACATGGACTCGTTTTTCTGTACTAACTTTGAAGCAACATGGATATTGTTGATTAGCAGTTTCCTTTCATGGCGCAATATCTCCAATTCGGAAATTGTACATCCCTAGACCTTTCCTTTTGGTCAAGTGAATTATGATTTGAAAATGCTTATCCATCAATTATTACAGTTTGAACCACTGCAACATTTTCCATACCAACTAGACCTGATGTAAAGCAAACTGCTTGTATTGTGGATCCAAGTCTATCTTTTTTGAACAAGCCTATTTGCATAAGTAATTGAAATTACTTTCAGTCAGAAATCCATCTTTCATTTACCATTGTTAACTGTCAAACTCTATTCGTACTAATGCTGCAACAAACAGAACCTACTTCATGCTACATCCAAGTCAATTACATCCCGTGTAAATTTACAATGGATAAATACAAGATTCTCTTTGTTTTCTGACCTAAATATCAGCTAACATATTGTCAAGAGCTGTTACTCACAACCAAACAAATAAGAACCATATTTTAACAAGCACCCCATCATAAGCACCTTTCAAGTGGTACTCATATTCGAAGTTTTGAAGTTTGTGCAGAATTAATCAATATGCCCATGGGCTTTTAAATATCCATACAGAAAAAATTAAAAGTGCTCGATTCAATGGATTTTGAATTTTTTGTGCTAACCTTTGCAATATGTACACCTTCACACTGAACAAAGTAGCAAGTTAGTGCTGACAATGTTGCATTACAAAAACTTACCTACTGCCTTAGCTTAATTTCCTTGCTGCCTCTCAGTTTAAGAGAAAGCATTGAATTGCATATTAAAAGTTTTTAAATGCTAGGCCTGTGAACGATCAATATAATTCTTAGCTAATTTACCATTAGGACAAATTTATTATATAAAAGTTTGTGTAATTTTTTATAAAAATGTTTTTTTTTTCAAAAAAATCTGACTCTACTTCACAAACACAAACTGCAAGTGCTGAATATCTAAAATACAAGCAAAAATGTTGGACGCACTGAAGTGGTCTGGCTGGATCAATAGAGATCACAGCATTGATCATCACGACTTATTCCAAGATGCTTCCAAACTCGAGTGTTTCCAGTTTTTATTTTACTTCTTCCAAATTTACACTATATTGAAGTAGTTTATCTTAATTTACTACTGAAACAAAATTTATAAATAAACCTGCAGCGCTGAGTAGATTTCAAATTATTTTACTTAAGAGCATAATATGGCGAGCACTCTCATGTCATACAATATATGCATGTGTCTTCATTAGTGCTGTAATCTTAGAACTACAGACTAATACATAATTGTGATCAGTTTTCTGGTGAATTTGCTGAAATGAAAAGAACATTTCTTACAATTAGGTAAATATTGTCAAACAATATCACATTCAAAAGCAATCTGGAAATAACAAATGGCAATTCTGAATACCAGTATCATGTCATTAATGCAATATCCAAAGAACCAAATGTATGCTTCTTCAACCGACCGATCTCTGGGGAATGCGCAATTTCAAACGAGAAGTATAGTTTATGATAATGATTATGATGCAGAATGTACAAACTGCAATTTTCAATCAGAATTGAAGCAAAATGAAATTAAAGTTTGGACCTTCGAAACATGATCCAAATACCTATGAGATTTATGTAATATACCCAAAGGTCCACAAAATCATCTACTTGCTTCATTAGTTTTCTAGATATTTCTTTATCTGTCTTCTTATTATCATGATATTTCTGTTACCGTATAAAATTGTATTCTCTACAAAATTACTATATTCCGTCAGATACTCCATGCTGCCATTCAGAAATTAGAAACACGATTGTTTGTAAACATCTCCATGTTTAAAGAGATCTTTAGTACACAAAAAATTGAAAAGCACTGCAATAATTTGATAGTTTTTTTTTGAAAAAACTGTTACCTTAGTTGATGGATGCATTGCTTAGAAACGCACTAAATTTCTATCAAAGGCTTTCATAGAGGAAAGTATGAAAACCCTGGTTTGACTATCTTGCTCAGTTACATTGTTGCCATTTACATATCAAATACATCATGAACACAGACTTGATCATAAACACCATAATGGACTCACCATCACGTATGTTGTCCCATGTCCACTGATCGTTTTTGAAGAAAGGATGACGTTTGATTTCTTCCACTCCATTTCTTCCTAACCGCACCTCCCTGAACATTGAAATAAATTCGGAGTACTGAGATATAGCAACCTAAATCAAGTCGTTCTTGCCATTCAATAAAAAAGTCCTCTTTGGTGAATGTTTTTCTTCACTTTTTGGTCCGTGCTAAATCTTTCTGCTTTTTGATTAAGTATCAACATGGCTGTAATGCTGCATTCTGCCACGTGTGGAATAGACCCATTTAAACACTAAAAACCTTATTGGGGGAGGGGGACTCAGAACACAGCCAACAAAACAGCTACCAGAACTTCAGGTGGTGCCAAACTATTGCAATATCTTGGATTACCTTCAACTGTGACTAAGATATTTAAACTGAGAATTAATGTAGCTAATCAAAAAAGTTCCAGTCATACAAGATTAGCTATTATTACAAAAAAAGGTGCATTCCTTTTTAATATGTAGAAGTACAGCAGGATCAGCTGGAATTTATTCAGGCTCATGGGATTAAATTCTGAATTGCCATCTTGTCGCTGTAACGTGAGCAGCTGTTTCAAATATTTCCAGTTCTAACTTCAGTATAAACAGGAAATTATCCGCACGTGGTAAAAGTGCTCCTGAATATTTTTTAAAATCAATATCTGAATTGAACATTCTCTCATTTCCTTTCCCCTTTTTAAATATTAAGACTGTTTTCATTCATGCAAACTATTTTGAAGTTTGACATTTCCAAATTAACTGTTTAACAAGTTATCTCTTTAATATTATTAACAATCATATTCAATAAACAGTAATTTTGTAATAACTTAACAAGTATGGTTATCACACAGCAAATTGCTGTACCATATAAAAATATTTATGTTTTCCTCACTGCTTTGAAGTAATATGAGTAATACTTTGTCCAAGTAACTGTTTTCAATGTAAGCTCACATACAAGATAGCAAAGTAACCAAAGGGGGAACACATACTACAGTTCAAAATATCTTATTCTTGTCTAATATGCATACATGAATATTTAAATATGAATTTTTACTCATTCATGGGTCATGGACATCGCTGGCTAGGCCAGCATTTACTGCCAATCCCTAACTGTCTAGAGGCCAATTAAGAATTGACCTCATTGCTGTGGGTCTGCAGTCACATGTCGGCCAGACCAAGGAAGGATGACAGATTTCCTGCCCTAAAGGACATCAGTGAGCCAGATGGTTTTTCAGGTGGGTTCTTCTGACAATTGACAATGGTGTCATGATCATCATTAGACTCTTAATTCCAGATTTTTTTCTTGAATTCAAATTCCTGCCGTGGCAGGAGTCGAACCTGGATCCCCAGAATATATAACATGAATTCTGGACTCTCTGGATGAATAGTCTAACGATAATACCACTAGGCCACTGCTTCCCCGAACGAATGGACAATATTTGAGAAGATTTGTAGCTCGGGTTGTCAATGAGGTTGTAGACACGCTAGCCAAGCTGGTGGTTTCGGTTGCAAACATTTTGTCACCCTTCTAGGTAACATCATCAGTGCACCTCTGGTGAAGCTTCAGTGTTCTGTCCCACTATAATTATTTATATGTCTTGGTTTGCTGTGGCGATTGGTATTGCTTCCGTTTTTGTTTCTCAGTGGTTTGTACACAGGGTCTAATTCAGAGTGTTTGTTGATGGAGTTCCGGTTGGAATACCAGGCCTCCAGGAATTCCCTGGCCTGTCTCTGTTTGGCTTGTGCGATTATCGATGTGTTGTCCGTGTGTGGTGAGACAAGTGAGAACAGACTACCAAAAAATGAAGCCAAAGGGAGCCAAAACACACTGATTCTACAGACTCTCCAAGGTACTCAAACAGGGGGTCCCCCTCAGACCCATTGTCTCATTGCCAGGTACATCAACATACAGACTTGCCAAAGAACTACAACAGAAATTAAAATGCTTAGTGGACAACACTACCCACTCCATCCACTCATCCCAAGAATTCCTCATCATCATCACGGACACCAGGATAGATGAAACAAGATGATGATATCCTTTGATGTAACAGCACTATTTACATCGATAAACATCAACCTAGTCAAAGAAACAATTGCCACATTGCTCGATGGATCAAGTAAGCAGAAAACCCTGGACACCAATATCATCAATAAGGACACAACCATGAAACTACCAGATTTGTGCCTCACAACCCACTTCACCTTCAATGACAACATATACAAACAAATCAACAGGACACCAATGAGATCCCCAATATCAGGACTGATGGCAGAAGCAGTAATGCTAAGGTTACAAAGGACAGCACTCCGCACTATACAACCCAAACTTTGGGTCCGATATGTGGATGACACCTCTGCGATTACTAAATGCATTAGACTGGAAGAAACCCACTGACACATAAACAACATCCTCACTGGGATAAAATTCATGGAAGAAAAGGAGAACAACCAACAACCCTTCCTGGGCATAACGGTAGAACGCAAAAACAATGGGGATCTCCAGACTAGCGTATATAGAAAGACCACATGTACTGACCAGATACTCAATTACACCAGGAACCACCCCAACGCCCACAAATGGAGCTGCATCAGGACACTATTTAAACAAACCACAACACATTTCCACAACCTGGAATTACTCAAAGCAGAACAGGAACACTTGAAGTCTTCAAAAGAAATATCCAAAAAGCACAATCCGTCATTACATCCGAGACAGACCACAACAGGAAGACACAACACAACATGAATCACTAATCACGCAACAATACATCAAGGTCATCTCCGAGATGACCACAAAACTACTCAGACCCCTAGGTATCAGAGTAGCCCATAAACCGACAACCACCCTACAACAGCTACTGACGAACGTAAAGAATCCCATACCCAAAAACTGGAGTAATATACAAAATACCATACAAGGACTACGAGAACACTACATAGGCCAAACTGGAAGAAAACTGACAATACGGATACATGAACACCAACTAGCCACCAAGAGATACGACCAATTTCCGCTTGTCTCACTACACATGGACAACGAGGGACACAAATCTGACTGGGACAACACGTCAATAATCGCACAAGCCAAACAGAGACAGGCCAGGGAATTCCTGGAGGCCTGGTATTTCAACTGGAACCCCTTCAACAAGCATATTGAATTAGACCCTGTGTACAAACCACTGAGAAACAAAACCAGAAGCAATACCAATCAGCCCAGCAAACCGAGGCATATAAACAACAAGCGGGACAGAACACCGACGCTTCACCAGAGGCGCACCGATGATGTTACCTAGCAGGGTGACAAAATGTTTGCAACCAAACCCACTGGCCCGGTGAATATGCCTACAACCTGAATGGACAATAATTAATGGCAGAATTCCCAGATAAGTTTTCTCTCCCCAAGCTGAAATTACAGTGCCCTTTTGTCAAGTCAGACTGAGACCCACTGACTCATAACAGGATAGTAATAAAACCAGATACGCATGATACAGTAAGACAACACGCAGAGATTTTACTCAGAGGGAAATTTGTTGTCATTTCATAATGTTAATGCTAACAACCCAAAAGAGGGCATCACCTTGGTCTGTTAAACAGTTTCCCCATGCCCTCAACAAACAGCTGGCGGAAGTGCAAGCTGATACAGGGATTTCACGCTATTGATCAATAACAGGAACAATTGAGTATCTTGTTAACCAATGAAATTTAAAGGCTGAAAAAATGAGCAGTGTTTAGAAAGGTGTGAATTCAAGTCAAAACAAATACAGAAAGAGAATAAGGAGAAGGAAAGAAATAGAACAGGAACAAATGGAAGTATTCAGCATATTCCTATCTTTGCAGAGAACAAGCAGCAAAGGTTCAATCAGCCCTGAAAAATGTGGCCTTGGGGGCCTACAACCCAATGGTCTCAACGTGGACTTGACTAGCTTCAAAATCACCCCACTCCCGGTCTCATCCCATGACCAACCCTCCCCCACATCCCCACCTCCTTGACCTGTCCCGTCTACTCTCCCACCTATCCGCTCCTCCCACCTCAGACCAATCCCCACCACTGCCTACCTGTACTCACCTATCACCATTCCACCTACCTTCCCCAGCCGCACCCCTCCTCCTTCTATTTATTTCACAGCCCCTTTCGCCCTCCCCCGTTTCTGAAGAAGGGTCCTGACCCGAAAAGTCAGCTTTCCTGCTCCTCTGATGCTGCCTGGCCTGCTGTGTTCCTCCAGCTCCACACTGTGTTATCTCAGACTCCAGCATCGGCAATTCTTACTGTCTCTGGAAAATGTGGCAGATCTTGAAACAGGTTTTAAACAAATAGAAACAGTTGGGATGGCATGTTGCAGCTGCACAGCACATTGGTGAGGCTACTTTTAGATTACCATGTACAATTTTTGTCTCCCTTCGATATGAAGGATATTGTTAAACTTGAGAGGATGCAGAAAAAATTTACAAGGATGTTGCCATGCCTGGACAGTTTGATTTAAAGGAAGAGGCTGAATAGATTGGGGCTTTTTTCCTAGAGCATCGGAGGCTGAGGTGTGACCTTATAGAGGTTTAAGAAATCATGAGGAGCGTGGATAAGGTGAATATCCAAAGCCGTTTTCCTAGGGTAGGGGAGTCCAGAACTAAAGGGCATAGGTTTAAGATGAGAGGGCAAAGATTTAAAAAGGATCTAAGGAGTATTTATTTTTACACAGAGGGTGGTGCCTGTTTAGAATGAGCTGCCATAGGAAGTGGTAGAGGCAGA